CTCTACGGTTTTATCAACAGGGCTATGCCCTTGCAAAGTTCACCCAAACCCCGGTACCCACTTCACAGCATATCCCCAGTACTTCGGTTCCCCTCCGCTTTGGTTCCAGACTCCCAATCCAGATGGCCCAGAAGGACTATGACCTGTCCCTGGTTCATCGGCTCTGCTATGACCTTTTCCTCCGGTTAACCCGGCGGCCTGGTTGGTGTATCGGCTTTACCACAAACCGATCGTGCCCTGTCCGGTTCTTCTACTTTGGTTTCCTTTTCCCGGGTCTAGCCTTTACAGTAGTACCGTCAAAGATCTGTGCTACCTCTCTACTCGGGACTTCCCAAATAGGCTTCGGTCCTCCCAGTTCTACGGATTTACACGACCTGGGGACTTATCTAGTGTTTGTGCCACCCGATGCCGGTTTGCATTCCTCCATGTAACCCCAAGGTTGCACGGATGCCCCAGACCTGCCAGTCATGCTGGTGCGACCATAGTTACAGATATCCTATCCCAACTGATCGATGAAGGACAGTTGCCATAACACAGGTAATTATTCGAATTTTCTGTCGACGATGGGTTTCGAACTCTTGACCTGCCACTTGGTGAGGGTGACAACCTAACCACTACACTAGATCACCACACCTCTTTTATATTTTTAATTAAGTATAGTAACTAATTAGAGTTTGATTTTTGCATGCTATATTGCATTATTATATGAATTTATACTATTGCAAGAATTAGTCTCAAGACTATTGCTACATATACTATTATATGATCATTCTTGCATGTTTAAAAATTAAAATATTTTTATATTTTTTAGCATAATCATATAAGGTTTGTCGATCACCAACTATATTTACTCCACATTTTTTTAATTCTTTATTAGATAAATTTTCTAAATAACTTATTGAAATTTTCTGCTTTTCAAACTTATCTAAAAATTTCTGATAATAGTTATTAGTTCTTTCTTTTTCATCAATTTCTTTTAAAAATTTAGCTATAGTTGGTAACTTAATTAAGTGAAATTGATTTTCTTAAGATTGTAAAGAAATAAGCTATGATTGTGCTTAATACAAACTAAATGGCATAGAAAATAGATAAAATACTAAGAGTTCAAAAGTCCAATTATTTTGTAGTAATACTTGTAATAATGATATTAATAGCATTTGTAAAACTTGTGGTAATGAAACTGATAATGCTTGTAATAGTGCTTGTAGTGGTAGTAATGAAGCTAATGGTGCTTGTAGTAGTAGTAATATTGGTAGTAGTAATGTTGTTGGTGATAATATTGCTGGTAATAATATTGCTAGTAGTAATGTTGCTAGTGGTAATATTGCTGATAGTAACATTGCTAGTAGTGATGTTGCTGGTAGTAGTAATAATATTATAAGCAATGATTTTAATGAAGACGAATATAATCTTCTAGATGTATTAGTATAAGAAAAGAGAGGATGCATTGGAGGATCTTTAACTATACATAATTCTTTGTTCTAAAATTTATAAATATTTTAGAATTTATAAAACATAATTCAATTTATTATAAAATAAATAAAATTAAAATTTACTATATTTGATACCTAAATTGAGAGTATCATAAAAGTAATTCTACATGTTAGTCTTTGTTACTTTCTTTGTGCAAACAAGAATGATTGTGTATATTACAATGATACTCATTTCGAATTTCTAATATATTTTTAGCGATCTCTTTATCATGTGAAGACAATGATAAAATATATAGAATTTTATTATTATTTTTATGATCACTTAGATTTGTTGAAAAATTATTATTGTCTATATTTGGTTTCTAACAATTACGGTAAATTAATTTGTGATTTGCATGGGAACCAGTGATCTGCAATAATACAAATTGGAGATAATTTACATATATATTTTTAACCGTTTTTCGAATTTACTTATTCCCAGTATATAAAAATTTTATTTTCTGAGAATTTTTTGTTTAAATACACTAATTCAAAATAGATTTATAATTTTTATTTGGGTGATACCAAAAAAAAAGCTTGTTACTGTACTAAATAGTGCATACCGGTAATAAATAAATAAAACTTTTCTCAAAGTCACATGCACTTAATATGGCAAAAGTCCTTAAAATATTTTTTATTTATATAATGCAAGCGTTAATTAACACCTACCTGCATGCAGTGATGTAAATTGTAGCGGTGCAGTAGGCGCAGCACACATAGATTTAAATTTGCGCATATATCAGTGCTCACTATACATATAACGCACGTATAAATTTTTTCTTTCTGCATATTTTTTTTGTATTTGCACCAATAAAAAGTTTTTGAATTTATAACACTGCCTGCATGTTATCATACCAGTATAAATTTTCTGTATAATGAAGTTTAAAGGCTAAGCATTTGGTTTGGTTATACACATATTTATAAATCGTTTACATGTGAATTATTTCAAAATAAAATTTTCTTATGAAATTCAAGAGCTTGGAATTGGTTCAGTATACCAAGAGCTAAGTAGCAGTATTATCTAGAAATAATTCTGTACAACGAAGTTTAATATCTGGGCACTTGGTTCGGTATATCAGAGGCTTTCCTAAAATTTATACGCATACAAACTGAGTTAGCTTTTTCAAAATAAAGAAACTTTCTCATAATAATAATGCACGCATATACGTATCTGAGTTATTTCAGACTTTATTTTGAAGCTTTTTGAATTCAAAAAGGTTCAAAATAATGCCTAGAGATATTACTTCATGCTTGTATAGTATTAAAAAAGTAATATAGCTTGTAAATAAAGTCGTATCTTTTATAAATAGCGAATGTTTTTCATTTATAGATTAGATAATTTCAAAGTTTTTAAATTCCTTTTGAAATAAATAAATTACAGATTTTTAGTATTATAAAAGTAAAACTTCAAATATCACATAAATAAGGGTATAATCGATTAAAGTAAAATATTTGATATTTTATATGATGTTCGTAGCAAAACCTTTACTTAGAAAACTCGAGCCAATTACTCTTTATCTTTTTAAATATATTCTTATTAACTATTTAGTATGCCAAAATATAAAGTTTTAATTATATCACTTGGTGAAATTATTCAAAATTTACATTCTGGGGGGTCGCTTAAAGCCAGGTCCATCACGAAATTGTCTGATGATCGTCGATCATCGGGTGATCATGGGATTCGATATGTGTACCAAGTTTTTTATAATGTATTTTATTTTCAACTAGAAGTATCTCGACAATTATCTAAGTAAATCAAATAAACTTTTTTTTATTTTAATGCTGAAGATTTCTAGAAGTAA